CATAATAATACAGAGTCAATTTTTGAATGTTATTTTTTATTTGTTAATTCTAAGCAAATTTTTACACACAAATCAATTAAAATATGGGAAATTTGTAAATTTCATTAAATTTATTATAAGTAAAACAACTATTTTTATATGTTTTTTAATCATCCTGAAAATTTACAATTTTCGGTCCAAACAGATTTTTTTTTGTTTTCGGACTGACTATAGTTTTTTTAATTAATTTAATCAAACAATTCTAGTTTTTCTAAGAAACATTTTAAACTGAATTTCTGAAAGATATCTTCTTGTTTTTTAAATTAAAAATATTAAATATTTGTTAAATTTGAATAAATAAATTAAGAATTGTATAATGAAACAACAAGATTGAAAAAAACGGAACAAAATGGCGTTTATGCGCAAGAAAAGTAAAGAAGAACAATGAAAAAGAAGGCGATCGTAGACGACTTCGAAAGCGACGTGACCACCCAGCCGGGTCATAAAACCGTGAAAGAAAAAGTGTCGAGCTTATACACTTATTTGGTAGGGAGCAACGAAGATAAGTTGATTCAAGCTGTCTTTGACGGCAATCAGAGCCGTGTTATGGAGCTTATAGATAAGGGAGCAGACCAGTGTGTTATTGATAAAGATGGAAACACATTGGTACACGTCGCGGTAAAGGGAAGACAAGGTGACATGTTTGGGTTGTTGGCGAATCTTGGGATGGACGTTAATTGTGTAAACGAAGATGGGGTCACACCACTGATATATGCGATCCAACTTGGGTTTGACGATGTTGTGACTGAACTCCTGCGAATCAAAGGAATTGACGTCAACCACCGAGATCATTCAGGACGGACCGCCCTTCACCATTGTGCCATTTGTGGTAACGCAACAGTAGCGGATATTTTGCTTGAAAATGGAATTGGAATTGACCACACAGATGTGACCAACAATACTGCGTTGCATTTGTGCTGCGAAAGAGACACGTTCAACGTTGCGAAGGTGCTGTTGCGATGGAACGCGTGTCTCTTCCACAAGAACCAACACGGGTTTACCCCACTTGGCACCGCAGTGAATAACAGAAATAGAAACATGATCAAACTGATGACTGCTGCAATGAAGGGGACCGACCACCCAGACTTTGACAAGAACATTGACAAAATGATGGATTTGACCCATGACCTTGATTATTATAAGAAAGTCCTCAATACAATGCCAGTGCACTTTACGAAGGACAAGAATGACTTTGAAGATGTGCGCCAGGCATAAGTCACTTGTTTTTATGATTAAAACACAAACCGAGCTGTTTTATCCATTTTCTAAAAACGAATTACCATTTGTGGTCCCATTATTGCGAATCATAGATATAATCGCACAAAATAGTAAACCCTGTGCAAATGGGAATAAACTCATATTGCGAGAACAGTTTCCCAAAAATCCACACAAAGACAAAAAAAGTTTTATATTTTGGCTGAATTATTTTAAACAGTTTATTAACTGATTAAATAATATATCACTGATTTATTTATTGTTAAATCGGGTTTTTTGCGATATTTGTAAAAACAGAGCGTCATATCACAACTCGTTAAGGAACTGGATTTTTTGGACCAAGAAAAAAGTGGTTCTACGGAAGTTTGAAATAACCATTATAGCGAAAATGCTCTATTTAAAAAAAAGGTGAACAAAGAAAACAGTAAAAATATACTTTTTCAAATCAATTAAAACACGAAATTTATTTACGAATTCTCAATCTGTCCATCCAACAAACCAAATTAATCTCATAACAGATAAAATCAGATAACTTTATTTTTATTAGTAAAAAATGGAGAATTGAATTGGAGAAACAATACAACATGTTCAACGACTCGAATAAAAAACCAATTTTCTAATCACATTTGGCTTTAAACAAAATCGGTGTTAGTTTACCATTTCAAAGAAGTCTTAAAAAAAGATATGGGTTGTTCAAAAAGACCAGCAAAGGAGAGCAAATAGCGGGTGTAATTCGGTGAAGAAGACAAAGTCAAAAAATATAACTCATAACGCCCAAAAATTAATAATTTTGGGGTAAATGCTTTTCGTAGGTTTTTCAAACACAAGGAACTGTAAAATCGCAGACATGAGAAAGGGCGAGTATCCACCATATCCCCATCCATTTGCAAAGAACTTTCCAGACAAATATATGGTCGAGTCGGAGTATTTCCAACAACAACTTGAGCAATTCAGACGTGAGAATGAGCGCTTTAGAAGAATGCAAGAGGAGAGATGGCTTTTGGAAGGGAATATGCCGTACTTGGACATCTTTCCAAAATGCAGAGGATATCAACTCCCCTCTTTATTCGACACACAACGAGGAGACAGCGGAAAGACACTTCCAAGTATCAACGATCGCTTTGGAAACCAACCTCAACAAGGTCAACCCAATCGTTTGTTTTTTTAACTGTGTGTTGTGGCGGTAATATAAGTTGTGGATGTATTGTACAGTGAAACAAAAGGTCATATTTTAAGAACCCAAACAATGGATTCTTAAAATAGAAATGTTTCAGTCGTTGTACACTGACAACCGAATTAGGCCAGAGTGGAAATGACGAACAGCAAGAGTCGAGAAAGTTGAGCGGAAGGACGAGAAGAAGGAGATTGTATGTTCTCCAAATACAACAGTCACTGCGTTGAAAGAGGAAGACGGCAAGAACGACGACACGGAGACGGAGATTGCAAGCGAGACGGAGGAAGTCACACAACAAAAACCCGCACAGGCGGTCCCCCCACAAACAAAGAAAAGAGGTCGCAAGAAAGTTGAGAAAAAGCAAAAAGTTGAAGAAGAGAAGGAAATTGTTGTTGAGCCGCCTCTTGAAAAGAGAAAAAAACGGTCAACGGGGAAACGTGTGATGAAGAGAAAAAAAGACCCGACGGTGCCGGACCCAATTAAACCAGAAAAGGTCGAGAAACAAGAAAAAAATGAGGCCGAGCCTGAAAAGAAAAAGCGCCGCAAAAAAATCGACAAGAAAAGTGTTACCGGAGTGGAAGATGGACTTTCACAGACTACAAAGGACGATGTCTTGTTGACTCAACTTAAACCGGAAGCGAAAAAAGAAAGTGGGGGAAAGGTGCGGGCGACAACGAAAAAAGAGGAGAAAGTCGTGAAGAGAAAACGTAGTAAAACTGCTGTAAAAAAACGAAAGACGGGGAAGGGAAGCTTAGAGGGGGATGGGTCTGCTGTAGTGGATGAGAAGTAGTTGGTGTAAAGAATTGGTGATTTGATTGTTTTTATGATATTTCTGGGTTAATGCAATGAACACTTTTTTTTTGTGAAGTGAATGAAAGAAGAATGCTAGCGAAGTTAGGATTCTGCAGTATTTGATTGTATTTACCAAAAACAGAAATACTCGACAATAGTATAATTATTGGAGTACAAATAACAGTAAAAGATCATTTCAAGTATTTATAAAAAACAGAAAGAACCGTTTTGCTTAAGATAATGATGTTTTGCGTTTTTTAAGAGGCGGTAAGGTTATCTGAAAATAGAATGAAAATTTCTAAAGCCTTCATTACAATGAAAATAAACAACTTTCCAAAAAAATGGGTGCCATTTTTCAAGATTAAATTTGGCAAATAATCGAGTAAATAACAATAAATAGCTGATGAACTATATTCCACTTATTATTTATAGTTTATTTGGAATAATCCTTCAATTCATTATACCACAAAAAAATATTTGAAAAATGGTCTCCTTACAATTCGACATTAATAAAAGTCAGTACTGTTAAAAAAAGTACAACAACAAAAACTAAACAATTCTTATAAATAAGTAATTGATTATTAATATAATATAATATAATATTGTTTGTAAGCTTAATCTGGCATATTGGAAAACCCCATTTTTGTCCTAAAAAGCAAAACACGATTCACTAAAAAGTTTGGTAATAAAAAATTGTAATTGTCATTTCGAAAAATAATCAATTATCACAATAGGAATCAATAATTGCAGATAATACAGGATCGGTTATCTCAACATCGCGTGTAAATTTATCGTCGTTTTCTAGTGTCATTTAAAGAATACAACAAAAAGCAACTTTCAACGTGTGAAGGTGATAATTGGTACGGTTTTGTTCTGAAACAACAGAATATGCATTTTGTATCAATTCTATGAATACCACACCATCAATTTTATCAAAAAGTGGATTTGTGGTTTTTGTATTAATACGTACACGTTCTCTTTGATGTCGAGTTTCTAAGTTTCTCAATTTAATTTCCAAGTTCCTTGCATCATAAACATCTCCAATTGCTGCAGCACGATATCTGTTAATTGTCTGATGTTTTTAAAGCAAAAACGTATTTTTAGTAAATGATTGTAAATTAAAAGAAAAAGAAAAAACGAATGCGGGTTTCCTAAATTCATTTGTGCCAGATTTAAGCGTTCAAACAATATAATATAATATAATATAATATAATATAATATAATATAATATAATATAATATAATATAATATAATATAATATAATATAATATAATATAATATAATATAATATAATATAATATAATATAATATAATATAATATAATATAATATAATAAATTATATTATAACTAAATACTAATAACTCTTATGCATAGAAGAATTATACAAAATGAATTCAATTATTGTTACATAGTTTCATCTTGAGAATTAACAGAAGAGTCCTTGCTTGCAGTCCCTTTTGTTTTCTTGTCTTTATGAAACAGTGAAAATCCCCACTTCTTCTTTTTGGTGGTGTCAACAGAGTCTGCGCGCTTCGGCTGTTCTGGCTCGACAACATATTTCTCTTCTTGTTCGTTAACACTCACTTCTTTCTCTTCTTGACTTCGGTGGTTTTCTTCTTCGAGGCGACTTTTGATCAAGTCGATGTCGCTTGCCGTCTTTTTGTGACGTCTAAAAAACCCCAAACTAGCTTTTTCGATTTTTTCTTCACGTTCTTGACTTGGTTCTCTACTACTTGCTTTGCTCCTTGCTTTGCTATTACTTCGGCTGTTCCCTTTACTTCCAGGACGTGACGTTGAGCGACTTTTCTTCTCTTCCTTTTTACGTTCTTTCTCGCGCTCTTTCTCTTCTTTCTTTCGTTCCTTTTCTAACTGTTTCAACCGCTCCTTCTCAAGCTTTTCCTCCTTCTTTTGTAATTTCTCGGCACGAGCAACAAACTCTTTTGATGGCGAGGACTCTAAAGATGACGGAAGGGAAACCCCAAGCTTCCTGTCTTGCAGTCGTTCCTTTTCCTTCTTGTCGATTTTGCGCGGGTTTGACACGAACGACCGCGAGTCTTTATAATCCGGGCGCACTGGTATTGGTTGCAACTTGACTGCGACCTTCCGTGGTAACGGAGAGAGCATTCTTCGTTGTTGTTCCTCTTCTTCCGGGTTTATAGTGATTCTAAAAACAGAAGCCAAAGAGGGTGGTGTGATAGTCCCGCGCATCGGCGAGTCAGCCATGATGTTTACGACATGTCCGTTGTTCAATGCAATTTTAAATATTTTGAAGTACTGTTGTGTGTTATAGCTTCCTCTAATGTACCTGAGCTCGGGCATCTTTTGTAACATGACTTGGACAAAGTCTTTCTGATCCAGACTCATTGTTTTTCCATACTCGACAAATGGAAAGAGACGTGGAGGGACTATATATTCTTCCAATGGACGATCTGTTAAAAATGGGTGGTTCAAAGCTTGGTCTGGAGTCATTCGATCCTTCGGATCATATGCAAGACAACGACACAAAAAATCATATAAACACTCTCGCACCTTTTCAGAAGACATTGTCTCAGTGTTTGATACTCGCATTTGGTTCAACATAATTAATTCCTTTAAAGTGGTGTATTTGAAGTAATTTCTGTTTTCAGGGACTTTCAAATTATTCTCATATTCATACTCAAATTGTTCTTTGAACAAAAACGTCCCCTCTTCATTATAAAAATATTTGTGCGTTTTACTCCCACGTTCTAACATCTCGTTTGGCGGCATCCCCAACATCTCAATCATTTTATACAACAAGTTGTATTCACTGGTGGCTCCAAACAGTGGATACCCTAAAAACAATTCAGCAGTCATACACCCCACACTCCACATATCAATCGCACATGAATAGGGAAGCCCCAAGACTATTTCTGGTGCTCTGTAATGCCTGGACTGAATGTAACTGTATAACGTGTAATTCTCAAAGCAGGCGCTTCCAAAGTCAATCAACTTCACTTTGGACGTCTGGCCCACTAACAACACGTTTTCAGGTTTAATGTCGCAGTGGACTATATTACCCTTAGCTAAGACTAATAAAGCGCGTAATATTTGTTGAATGAACTTTCTGATGGTCTGGATGCTAAAGCTGTGGTTCCGGTTCCGGCGCATCAGCTCATACAAATCGATTCCAAGCATCTCTGTGACGATACAGATGTGGTTGTAATACATAAAGTAGTCGACCATCTTCAGTACACGACTATGTGAAGAATTGTCATAGAAATTGTTGAGCTATTGCTTAGTCTTTTGATTGGTTATATTACATGTATTCATAACTCTCCAATTGTATTCTTAATTCGATATAAATAAGTAACCAACAAACGAAGTGTAAGACAGTAAGTTCGATCAGACTTTGCTTGAAATACGCGGGCTTGTTTTTGAGGACTTTAACAGCAACACATTTGTCCGTGTTCATGTCGACACACTTAATGACTTGCCCAAATGTGCCTTGCCCAAGCATTTGAACCACTTTATAGCGCGTGAGTGACTTCTCGTCCATCGAGTATTCGACGCCCTCGAGTGAAGTTGCTGTCCCCAAAATGTCATCGATTTTTATTATTAAATCGTTGTTTTCGTTGTCGAGACCATAATTACCAGTTGGCGTTTTGGGGTCGGTTAGGACTTTAGACGCCGTGTGGTTACACTTCCGAAGAAGCAAAGAATACCCGATCGTAATTTGCTTTGTCACGTTGTTCACGCGCTCCATGGGACAGCCGGGGATGTCTTCGTATCGCACAAAGCAGCTCGTCATTATGGGTTTTCAAGGAAATGGAAATTATTTTTTCTTAACTTCAAAACCAATAATCTTAAAATTGTTTTTATGAGCAATAATTCGTCTGTTGCACGACAAGGACCTGCAATTCCGGGAGCCTAATCATCCCATTTCGTGGCGATTACCACCCCACATCTTTTTTAATACTTTATTTAGTTCCGAAATCATTTCACTTTTCTCTAATCTGGTAATATTTGCAGCTGGTTGAAAGCCTAGGAAGTTAGCTTGTGAAGAAGAAAAGAAAAAAACTTTTTTTCTTCGTAAAAACTATATGTTATAATAGTTTATTAATTTTTGTAATTAGTAGTAGTTAAAAGAAGTTTTTAAAAATAAACGGAACAATTTAAAACAAATATGTTTTTTTTCGGTCGTATTTTTGTGCTATTATCGGGGATCCTAATACGGTATTTTTTCTAATATGTTATTAGTTGTTAAACAAATAATCCATTCAATTAAGAAAATGTTACAAAATGTGTAACAATTCGGGATATTTGAAATAGTTTATAACTGTTATTTTAAAAAACAATAAAAATGTCATTGTATTATCA